ACACCATAGACACTCCTACCACAGGCACACACCATAGACACTCCTACCACAGACACACACCATAGACACTCCTACCACAGGCACACACCACAGACACTCCTACCACAGACACACACCATAGACACTCCTACCACAGGCACACACCACAGACACTCTCACCCACTACAGACAGGAACGCCCCACTCACCACAGGGGCGCTCCACTCACCACAGGGACGCCCCCACTCACCACAGGGACGCCCCCACTCACCACAGAGACGCCCCACTTACCACAGGTACCCCTCACCACAGGGACCCCCACTCACCACAGGGACGCTCCCACTCACCACAGGGACGCTCCCACTCACCACAGGGACGCTCCCACTCACCACAGGGACGCTCCCACTCACCACAGGGACGTTCCCACTCACCACAGGGACGCTCCCACTCACCACAGGGACGCTCCCACTCACCACAGGGACTCCCCCACTCACCACAGGGACCCCTCCACTCACCACAGCGACGCCCTCACTCACCACAGCGACGCCCCCACTCACCACAGGGATGCCTCCACTCACCACAGGGACGCCTACGCTCACCACAGGGACGCCCCACTCACCACAGGAACTCCCCCACTCACCACAGGGACACCCCCACTCACCACAGGGACGCCCCCACTCACCACAGGGACGCCCCCACTCACAACAGGGACGCCCCCACTCACCACCAGTCTCCCTGTAGTGGCTACCAACTGGTGGTGCACAATGGTATTGATTTACCGGGCTCGCCTCTCGTCTGAATTACACAGGCCCTCAATAAGCCATTAATTCCACAGAATATGCAAATTTTATGGCTTAGGTAATAAGCTTATTAGTGTTACTGTTTCAACTATCACACTGCCGTTAAGAAAATGCATCTGACAGAATCTGAGCGCATGTTCTCTCTTTGATTTTGGCTTTGATTGTTGAGTAATGTTCGTTAGACCTAACTAACCGTTAAACCTAACTAATCGTCAGACCCAACTAATCGTCAGACCCAACTAATCGTCAGACCCAACTAATCGTCAGACCCAACTAATCGTTAAACCCAACTAATCGTCAGACCCAGCTAATCCACCAACCTTTGGTTGGTGGATTAGTTAGGTTTAAAATCTGTTAGAGGATGAGACCTTTCTCTAGTTTTCATGGTTGATTTTAGTTATTAGGAAAAGATTATCAAGATAACTTTAAGAATAATGGTTGCTAAAGGACATCATCCAGGGTTGTAAGTGTGTCAACAACACAAGGGTCGTTAAGACTGCCTCTCATCTGGACACCTCTAGACTGAGACACACCACGAAGAGGCGGGGCCAGGAGCTGTGAATCGACCCCTGTAACCACAAACAGGTGTGTGTATGTGTGTGTGTGTATACCCAGTTCGACATATGGCATATGTGACTATTGTGATGACATATGTGAACATTGTGGTCACATATATCAACATTGTGATGACATGTGAAGATTGTGATGACATAGGTGAACATTGTGGTCAGATATGTAAACATTGTGGTCAGATATGTAAACATTGTGGTCACATATGTAAACATTGTGGTCACACGTGAAACAAATCGATTCAAGAAAAAGAATTTTGATTTATATAAACATTTTATAGGGACAATTATTTTTGAAAGGCTCTGACACTTTAATAAAATTAAGACAGCGGTAAAAAGTAAGTGAAATTAACATTTCCTACACATTATTCCTGAGTTCATTTTATATATATATATAAATGGTAACAGATAATGCAGCTTTCTTTACATAACTGAATAGCTCGTACACAGCTTCATGATTGTCCATACACCGTCAACACACACACATTATAATATATATATATATATATATATATATATATATATATATATATATATATATATATATGTCGTGCCGAATATGTAAAACTGGTCAATTAGCAAGAACTCATTTAAAATTAAGTCCTTTCTAAAATTTTCTCTTATACGTTTAAAGATATATTTTTTTCGTTTATGTTAATGTAAAAATTTATAATTTTGCACCTAAAGGAACTTAGAAAACTTACCTAACCTTATTATAACAAGAACAATTTATTTTAGCCTAACCCAACTAAATATATTTTAGATTTGTTTACAATAATTTAATACTAAACAGAGTGAAATATATTTTTTTCGTTAGGTTCAGAATGATTTTGACTAAATTATTGCATACACAAATTTTCACTTGCCCTATATGGCAAGATGAGCGTTGCTATTTAAGCCAAGATCGCAAGTTCTGCCTATTCGGCACGACATATATATATATTATATATATGTGTGTGTGTGTGTGTGCGTAGGATTGAGTGGTTCTGTGGGTTAGTGTCATGTGATTTTTGCTAACCATGAGGCGGGCCAAAACGACATGGGTTCGAGTCCTCGGTTAGTCGCAGTGTTGTTATTAATTAAAAACCACTCGTTCGTGGTTACAATAATACAAATATATATATATATATATATATATATATATATATATATATATATATATATATATATATATATATATATATATATATATATATTCACACATTCAGAATCCTGTGTGTACCGAGCACACGTGGATGCATACATACATATATATACATGTACACACACACATACACACACACACACACACACACACACACACACACACACACACACACAGTGTACTAGTTACGGTACATGTGCGTGTGTGTGCTCATCGTCAGAGCAAATAACATCACAGAGGTGAGTGCTCCACCACAGAGTTCAAGGGTGACTTCCAAGAGCTGCCCTTCATGGCAGTGGGGGCGGGAGTGCCTTTATGCTAGTAAAGGCTCTAGATCCGAGCAATTGGAGCTACCCCTCCTCTTTTTTAAGTCAAACCTCGTTACCTCCATCTTCCCTTTCTGGTTTAGCGCTGATGATATTCTGTCGATATGTTGTACATAGTTCCTCTTATGTCGCAGCACGTTGTAAATAGTTCCTCTCCCGTTGTTAATGTTTCTTCTTACGGAGCAACTTCTTGTAAGTGGATCTTACAGATCCACTTACATAGTAACACGTTGTAAATGACTCTTCTTACATAGTAACACATTGTAAATTCTTCTTTCATAGTAACATGTACACGTTCCTCTTTTGTAACAACTTGTTCCTACATGGAAATACGTTGTAAATGAGTCTTCTTAAATAGGAATATGGTGTAAATGGTTCCTCTTCTAGGAACTCGTGTAAATGGTGAACAAGACAGGTGTGCAACGCAGATGTTCAGAATCATATATTACTGTTACATCCAACAACACAGTGCAAAACACCTAGTAAGGCTGAGGAGGGACTGATCACCCCACTCCGGTTTTATGCACGGTATTCGACCGAAGAAACCTGCTGTGTAGTCGATAAGCTTCGGCATTATGAAGATACCCAAGCGTTACCCGTATATCTTCATCAGTGTACATAGGTATAGTGGGGAAAGGTTTCGGTATTTCTGAAATTCTATATTAAATAACCTTAAAAACGTAAAAAAAAAACCAATTGTCTAGTGAAATTATGTGATCAGTATTAAGCTCCACTTGTGCTAATGTGACCACTATTTCCATTATTACTACACCTACTACTTCTACGACGTAGTAACATGGTATAAGTGTTACAGTTACCTAATTACATCTAAATGTGACTTGCATGTTAATGTTACTGTTACGTAATAACATGTTGTGAATGTTTTTTCTTACGTAGTAACATGTGAATGTTTCACTTAAATAACGTATGTTCGTTTCGGCGTTCACCCAATCCGTTTTGCCTTATGAGTCGTCCTCGCCACACCAGTCTCTGACACACGATCATATTAGCTACTGAGTTAAGCCCTGGTACTGTCCCTTCCACTCATAACCTTCCTCTCACCAGCCTGCTCTTGTACTATCCCAACTTCCCCGCTCACTCCACAAGGCTCTTACCCTCTCCATCTTGATCTTACGTAGCAACATGTTGTGAATGTTACTCTTACGTAGCAACATGTTGTGAATGTTACTCTTACGTAGCAACATGTTGTGAATGTTACTCTTACGTAGCAACATGTTGTGAATGTTACTCTTACGTAGCAACATGTTGTGAATGTTACTCTTACGTAGCAACATGTTGTGAATGTTACTTTAATACTTTAACATGCAAATATGTCTTTTTACGGCCACATATTGTAAATAGTTTCTCTTATGAAGGATTATATTGTAAATAAATCTGTCAATGTAGCCACATTGTGTTAGTATCCTGTATTAATGTATTATTTTTCTTCACTAAACCCGTAAGGGTCATAAAGCACCTGGTGAATGGGAGTTTTTCAGATTTGATCCAACGGAGGGAAGCTTCAATTCCTGGATGTGTGGGTTACCGTCTATAATTACCTATTTGCGATTAATGATTTGTAACTACGTATGTGTGTGTGTATGTGTGTGTGTACTCACCTATTTGTACTCGCCTATTTGTGGTCTCCGGGGTCGATTCATAGCTCCTGGCCCCGTCACTGATTGCTTCTAGGTAAAACTTACTTAGTCTTTCCTTTCCCTGCTCCATGAGCTTTATCAAACATCGTCTTAGTAAAACTATGTATGGCTCCTGCCTCCACTACGTCACTTTCTAGGCTATTCCAGTTCCTGACAACTCTATGACTGAAGAAATACTTCCTAACATCCCTGTGACTCATCTGAATCTTCAGCTTCCAATTGTGACCTCTTATCTCTGTGTCCTTACACGACAAAGTAATATTAACGAGTATTACATATTTATTATATGGATGGAGAGGCGCTAAACCTTTAAGATCCCTGGAAGATCGCCAGGGAGTTTGCGAGTAATCAAGTCCAATCGAAAAAAAAAGGAGTGGTGCTCCTGTTCCTTGGATCAAGATCAATTCACCACCAGCAAGGCACCTTGAAAAGAAAAGAAATATGTAAAATGATCTAAGCGTCACAAATAAATTAAATAGTTGATGTTTTTACGTGATGTTTTAGTTTTCGGGCAGAATTTTGTTATGACGTCTTATTAGGCTGGTAATTTTCTTTCCTCGGATGAACCACCTCGTTAGCGTTCCTCTTCACAATTCTCGGTATGTCGGGCATGTAGAACTGCTGGCCAACATCAAAGGCAGCGGCGACACCCTCGGCAGGCTCAGTCACTCTCACCAGAAATCCGTGTGGGCATAATGTTCCCCCGTCGAGTTTAATGTGTAGGAAACTGACTTCACTCACGACCCCTGACAGTGTTGATCGAGGGGCTTAATAGCTATTACCAAGTGATTTTAGCGCCACACCGGTAGTTGGGCTGGAGGCCCCCTGTGTGGCTGGCGACCCCTGCCTCGCCAGCACCCACCTCAGCCTCGCCAACACCCACCTCAGCCTCGCCAACACCGACCTCAGCCTCACCAACACTCATCACCATCACCATGCCTCGTCTCCGTGCCGATATTTGCCGGAAATGATCTTGTTCTTGGGGGCTGTAGTCAGTTGCTCTCTTTCTCACCGAGTGTGTTCATGTATAAAGAATGTAACTGCCGGTTCAGCCCACATCGGATTTGAATAGAACAACGGTTGATCATTCACAGTGAAAATCGACAAGACCTCCTGGGGTGTGGGGGGTGGAGCATGCGCCGCCCAGACTGATGGCTGGGCGGAGCTGCCGCCCAGCTTGACCAATGAGGCTTTTGGTGCTGGGCGGGACTACTCCATAACGTCCCTTTGCTTCGGGAAGACAAAGGCGAGCGTTGATTGGCCGCTGAGTGTTGTGTCCCACCCCTGAAGACCGTCCATGGAGTTTGTAGTTTTTCTATCAGAAAGACTCTGGTCGCGGGGCTGGTGTGTGCACTGTGGTCGATGTTTTCTGAGTGTAAGTCTGCTTGAGTGGTGTGTACAAGGGTAGCGTGTGGAGGCCCGCTACTGGTGGCAGCAGCAGCAGCAGCACCGTCACGCTGGCGCTACCCCCGGCACTCTCCGCTTCCTCCTCCCTCCATGCCCCGGCGCGCCAGGCCCACGCTCACGCCCACGCCTACCTGGACACGCCGTACTACCTGAAGCGCGACCCGGAGGACCTGTTAGGGTCGGCAGCGACCCCTCCGGGCGGCGACCTGATGACCCTCAGCCCCCGCCACACTACGCCCTTCTCCGTTTCCGACATCCTCTCGCCCCTGGAGGAGCAGCGCCGGGCCCTCGACCTGCTCGACGACCGCCGACTTGACTTACTCGACACCGGGAGTTACGGGCGCGCCGCCGCCATGCAACCCGCCGCCATGCAGCACGTGGCGTACCCGCCCGCGCCGCCGCCCACCACTTACTGCACACCAGACGTCTACGACGCCCGCGCCTCTGCGCCATCTTGGTACCAGACCTCCTCTTCAGACCCTCGATTTGCAAGTAAGTCCATCGTAGACACTTAAGGTGATAATTCTAGCGAGCACCGCGTGCGGCGCGGCCTGCAGCCGCAGTGCTTGCTGGCGCACTCACAAACTCGTTGCTTGTTCTACCTGAAGACACAGTAGAAACCTTACCTACGGCTCAACAGAATTCTGAGTCTCTCACCTCTTTCACCCATTACAACTAGTTACCAGCTTGTGACGTTAAGAAAGGATTAAGCCATGATTACCTTCTGTTTGCGGATCTTTTAACTGGTTGTGATTCGCTGTTTATTGGTTTAACATTCACATCGAGAGCGTCACATTCTCCAAACAACTCTTTGTGGCCCGGAAGGACAGAGTGAAGGCAAAAGATGATGTGCCTACGAGAGTTTCAAGATCTGTCGCTATTTCCTCTAAAGCTCTATTGTAATAAACTGGAATTAATAACGTGTCGTCGTGCAATGAATTTACCTCGCTCGGATAGGGAATTCCCGGCGATGGGTCGGCCGAGAACTGTAGTCTGCGACTAAAGTAACATTCCAACTGAGACTTAGCAACTTCATTTTAATCTCCCGTCTAGACTTAGTGACTCACCCTTAAATGGACTTAATGACTTAATTATCTACCGCCTAGACAGTGACGCCCCAAGAAATAATGACTTAGATTCTCTCACTAAGACTTAGTGACTTAAGTTACAGAATACCAAGACAGTAACTTGTGTTGCAGCCCTCCAAGACTTAGCGACTTCTTTTGCCGAGGTTCGGTGACTCTCCTCCACAAAGACCATTCCTACGGAGGCTTAAATTATCTTCCACCGAGGCAGTGACTTGGAGATCACGGAGAGTTGAGCTTCTTTTCCCCGAGGATTAGCGAGTATCTCCCTCCGATACTGATGGGTGTATCTGACAGCCTCGCCGACTGATGGGTGCACCTGACAGCCTCGCCGACTGATGGGTGCACCTGACAGCCACTATCATACACCACACCAAGGCACAGTTGTCGTCAGTTTGAAATAATTGTGATGACTGCCGCCTGAAGGCGCCAGGCTAGAGATGTTAATCATGATATCAGTGGCTTCATAATCTCGCTCGCTCATCAGGGCTCACAAACACCCAACTGTTAGTTTTCAATATATCATTGTCACT